CTCCTCTTTAAGCCATTGATTCGTAGAGCCACGAACAGCTTTTCGGGCTTCGCTTAGCCCCCAAGCCTGCCCTTGGCACTTGGCAGGCATCATTCTTATATATACCATAGAATCGGCTAGAAAGTCGTAAAAATTAAAGGGACGTAAATATCTACCTCATTGCTAGATAAGTCCATGGAATCTCTGGACTTTCAATGATCCACGACCCTTTATAATATATCCTTATAATTTTGCTTGCCATCAGAACTGATCACCCTTAGATGCTAGTTCGGTCATGAGAACAGGTCTCAGTTGGCCAGGGGTCATTAACTTCGGATGGTTATCCGAATTTGATAAGTTTGGCATATAGTGCCTTTTTGAATTATTAGAGCAAAGATTCTATTAAGCCGTAGCAGATTCTGAAGCGGATCAACTACCAAGAAGAAATTACCAGTGTTACCGAATAATTAACCCTGCAATTTAGGGAAGCTAGTAATTGATCTATCGATATAACAAATGGGGATGGGAGACCAAATGTCAAACATTTGCATCATCGGTTGATCCCGTAAATTATAAATAAAGACCATAATGAAAATGACAGCATAATGAAAATTCAAAGCACAGGTTGTTTCATACTCAAAACTAATTTGGAAAGTGGTAGCCAAGAAGCAAACTATCCCCAGTTTACTACAGTATATACACCGACACGATGCAGGCTGAGCGGATGGCTAACCAGACGATGAGAAGAAACTAATCAGAGGAGGGACTTGAGAGAACGACACTTGAAAGGCTTCCTACCTCGCTTCTTGGCTACCTTCCTCTTCTCTAACCCCCCTTTCTTCTTCGCAGCATTAATACAGGTGCCCTCATGCTCTCTATAAGGCGTAGTAGTACGATCGCTGCGACGATCATCTGATTCCTCAAAGCGATCAAGTTCATGCTCATCGCCACCCGCGACGGCGTTATCGTTACGGTCGTCGTCGTCGTCGTCATCCAACACTGTGCTCTCCTTGCTGCTACTGTCTTCCTTCACCCTATAACACCGGCCTGCCTCGCCTACTTCCCTCTCCATGGCGCCCGAACCCTTCGTAGTTTAGTAGCTAGATCCGGAGTCTTTATCCGTTGCCCCCCTCCCGGCCACCTTCCTTCTGCTCGGTTAGCGCCCGATGGTTCGAGCTGTAGGCTTTGATCTGGGCGAGGTGGTAGCTGCAGAGCGAGTTGGGAAGCTGAGCTTGCCTCTTGCAGTGCCACCCTTTCCCGTCCGTCTTCTTGCAGAACGCGACGGCGGCGTCCCTCTCTTTCCCCTTGCTAACCCTCCGCCTCTTTACCAGCTTCTTTTCCTCGATCTCCTTCATCTCCTTCAGGGTCAGTTCAGCCGCAGCGCTGTGCTTGAAAAACACACGTGCGTGTTTACATTGAATAATTAAGAGGGCCTGTGCATGAAGAGGAACGGAGAAGGAGAACCGAAAGAAGAGCATATGCATCTAGGTAAACATACCTAGTGATGTGCTCGGGTTCATCTGTTTCGATCGTGTTTCCCAAAATGCCCTCATCCTCTCATCCTCGCCGCCGCCGCCGCCCTCCTCCTCCTCCTCCTCCTCCCCCTGAGTAAACAAAAACCAAAAAAAAGAAAAAAAAAAGAAACTTTGTCCCAGAATGACCCCGATAGGAAGGAAGAATTATAATGCACCCAGAAACAACATGGAAGGCGGGGGTTGAAATCAACATAAACCCCAAAAAATTCGAAATGGATCAACCCAGACCGCTGGATCTAGGGTTTCCATCTCGTGAAAGAACCCTAATAATCCGTTCGAAATTTGAAAAAAAAAAAAACCGTGACTGATCTCGACAAATAAAGAACCATTCAAAACAAATCAAGATCAGAAACCAGCTCCGCGTTCAATTTCTTGGATCAATTTTATTGGGTTAACCCCAAAAAGGAAAAGAAAACAAAACCCTAACAGTCTCCAGCAGCAAAAGAAGAAGAAAGGTTTTTTTTTTAAAAAAGGAAACCAATAAATAACTGGTAACGAGAGCTCAGCTCGCACAAATCACGCAATTTTGAGACACCGACTTCAGCTGAACAGATTAAAAGGGAGGGAGGGAGAGTAATTAAGTGCGATCTTCAAACCTTGAGATCGGTGATGAGGAAGTCGCAGTAGGAGGAGTTGGGATCCGTCGCCATTAGATCCCACGGCGAGCAGTTGAGCTCGCACACGGTGAGGCCCTCGGCCTCAGCTCCGGGGGCGGTCGCCGGCGTCGAGGGGCGATTAGGGTTAGCAGCGTAAGCTAACGACGCCGAGCCCAGAATCTTGGAGGCGTTCCTTCGAATCCTCATCCCCTCACCAAATCAAAGCAAGCAGAACCGAGTAGGGTTCAAACTGAACGAGATCAGAAGGCTCGTTAGGGTTTACCGACCGTATTTTCGTCGAGGGGATCGCGCGAGAGAGGGAGAGAGAGAGAGAGAGAGAGAGAGAGAGGACCCTAAATACGCTGCAGGCTGCTCTCTTTTTCTTCTTTTTATTAGTTGCGAGATTTTATATGTTATTATAACCGGTGGCAAGGGATAATGCTTGATGTTTGGCCTTTTAGTTTGCGATTAACTACGAAACTACCCCTCTCGGAGCTTACTCGTAGAGCTACGAGCGGAGCCACGTACGTATTGTACGCATCTACGTCTGATCTGAGGCCGAAGACGGCGATCATCCTCAAAATTTTAGAGATTATTAAAATTTAGTACCAACTCTCTATTGTTTAGTTAGCAGTAGCGACGTTAACAACTACCATATTCGTTTGTGTACTCGCGTATATCCAAGTCGAGACAAGATGGATTGTAATAGCCATCCAAATAATTATAAACGGTCGATATCACAAGTAGTGAGAAATCAAGCGTGGGATGATTTGCCTAATACTTCAAATATAGCGAGCGTTAAAAAAAAAATATCAACACTGATTCAGCTCAAACAAACCTTAATACATAATTCAATTTGGAATATAGCAGAATCGCTCTCTGATGTAGCAAAACAATTCAAAAATATACTTAAAAAAGAATAGACAATAAAGATGGATATCACTACAAAGGTTGGAGGTATGGCTTCTATATTTATTGTAATGATAAAGTTCACTAAACCCTCTAAACTTTGTGCCATCTCATGAAACCTTTATGGACTTCATTTTCCCTCTAAAGTCCCTTAACTTGTCAATAAACCGCGCAATTTTTTTCCATGAAACCCGTAAATTTCTTCTTCTTCCTCTTATTCTTTCTTTCTTTATTTTATTTTATTTTATTTTTATTTCTATTTTTATAGCACAGGTCAAGTTTGGAGCTCCGGATCCCTAGCTATTTTTATTCTCTTTTTTAAAATTTTCAAATCTCATGTATTCTCTACTGAATCTTGCTTCCACTTTTAGGACATAATGAAGCTTCAATTTAAACTACCAAGATGGCTTCCTCATGTTCAAATAAAGAGATATCTTTATAGTTCGAGAGTCGTCGTTACATAGCTCTGCACAATTGCAACCAAACCTAGAAATTAACATATCATGGTTCAAGAATGACAGCTTAAAGGTGCGGGTTTCATTTAGTGAAGATGGGTGTTTGGTGGGAAGCCGCCAAAGTTGGGGCCAAGGTTGTTTGTGAAATTTAATTACCCTCACTATTAATACATATTTATACATACAAATATACGAAAGCTAATAAAATGAAGAGATCCGCAGGCGTTCGTTTTTCCTCTCTCTCTCTGATTGGTAAGCAAAATGATAAGAGGGGCCGGGGATTTGACATGGAGAAGGCGTGCACGCACTTTTAATCGTCATACGCGCATTCATACTAACACGTTAATTAAATTTCTTATGATAATAGTTACCCAGCGAGGAATACACATATAAATGAAATAGTACGTAACCCTACATAAATCCTCACGTACAGAAGAATTCTCGAATTTTGACAAGAACTATCGAATTCAAAAAGATCGGCCAGCCAACAGGATTCTCATGTATCTGTACATATATAGCAACTTGATGGATCTCGTATACCTGTACATAAAAACTCGATAAGGTGATCGCAGGGAGCATCGGCCCCCACCTGTGCTTAAAATGGTCTCCGCGGGAGAACAAAAGCAAGGTTGTAGAGTTCTGGTGGAAAACTTGATGAGGGAGCTTCTATACCCTTGTAACAATTGTTTCAGCAGACCCGACTGTTTCGCTGTGTTTAAGACAGAAGTGATATTCTTGCCGATACGACCAACTTTAAATGTACATAACTACCTTTTCAGATGCAAAAAATTACGGCCACCGTGACTCTCATTGCTCAGCAGCTGTTTAGACGTTTCATGTATTGTTCACATGCTATATATCCAAGCAAATTCACTGCTGCTAAATCAGGAATGAACAAAGGAATACTTGACTTTCTCTGAAACTGGAAAAAAGGTAGAATACAAAGCAGAAACAGGCGGAACGAAGCAACTACTCATGTCCAACAACTTCCCCACATAATGTCAAGACGATGGACATCAACATATGAACATAACATGAAATACAGGAAGATCAGAAGATCTTGATACAAAAACAACTCCGAAGCCAAGTTCCTCTGAAACTGGAAACAGATCGAACACAAAATATCTCTGACACTAGAAACAGATAGAACACAAAGCTTCAGGTATCACATCTTTCGCCTTCACCACCACTGTGCTGATCATATACGACTGCAATAATAAAATCTATAGTAAATTGCATATAGCCCCATAATTTACACATTCATTTGCACTTACCACAGTTCAAATCAATTTATTAACATTGTTCACCCCGAACAAGTTACTCTAAATTGTACCCAAGGATGACATGCACTAGTAAATAAGTTTGACAGATGGTAAGTGCAAACTGAAAATGTAGATGAGAGAGAGAGATCGTATGCAATTTAGTCTCAAGTCCCTAGCTAAAAACGTGCAGCCTTCCCAAAGCTACTACTAGTAACAAGCAATAGCAATGATAAAAAGAGATGGAACGAAAAATCAGAATGTACCTGCCTGAAGCAAATTCTTTTTAAAACACCAGCAGTTCCTTCTCTAATGCAAATCTCTCACCATTTACAAGTTGATCTAACCAACCAGTAAAATCTCCAAGATTTCTGCGACGTCTTATCAGCACCGGATCAGTTACAATATGACAAACAAAAAACAAAAATCAGAACAAACGCCAGTTTATACATCACTTGCAGATTTTATAACTTCGCCATTTCCCCCTCCACCAGAATATAAAACACCACATTATTCTCAAAAAGCTTTCGAACAAAAGGTTTTTCACTATGTACATTTTCCTTTCTGTACTTTGCTTCTCCTCACCTAAATTGCATATAAACAGAGAAGCTGTCCCTTCCAACAAATAGCTGTAACTGTCCTCTATGCTTGCCCTCTTCTCAGATCGACTACAATCACACTGATATTGTCGCAGCTCTTCCTCCCGAGTGCAAGCCTAGCAAGCAAAGCAGTGGCAAGATTACACCGAGCTTGAGAAGGATGTTCCTCCCCTCCACTACCGCTATAACTACCCTCTCTATTTCCCTCCTCTAGACACCTCCGAGCTATGTCGCATGCCAACTCATTAGGTATGACATCCCACAGCCCGTCACTGGCAATCACCAAGCATTCGTCTTCAGGGTGTCTTTCCATAACACGTACTTCTGGTTCTGGTATCACAACTGGTTTGAAATACTTGTCTCCTGTAAGGATAAAGTGATTGGTGATAATAGTATTTTGGTCATTAAACGTCTATGTGATGTATAGAAGGGAAATAACACATGCCAACTTCTCACACAGTATTACACTTGATACTGCATAAAAAGTCAAAACGTTATACTTTCAAAAGCAGAAATGGTCGATATCATCAACATCATGTTGATCATTGTTCTGGTTAACGATCGTTAAATTACTACTTATTAAGTTGATATTTGGGATATGAATTTTAAGGGTAAATTGCAGATAACCTTCCATCCATACATTCACTAGCGCTTAACACGCCTCCACTCATTTGTCAGTACTTAGCCCCAAGATTGCTCCTTTTAGAAGGATAAATTGCTGACAACATTGAACACCCCTGTCCTTCATGACGCGAGGGGGCTAAGCGCTAACAAATGATCCAAGTGGTATTAAGTGCTATTAGAGGTACAGCTGAGGGAGTTTAGGGGCTGTTTGGTTGTTGTTGGTAAAGTTGTGTATTTATGACACAACTTGGAAAGTTGTTGTCCACCTCATCAATTTCACTTTTATACTTTTCTTTGTTTGTTTTTGATTCCATTGGAATCATAAAACACTTGTTTGGTTTGCAAAATGAAACTTTAATTGTTTGTTTGGAAAGTGTAAAAAGTGGTCCCTACTCAAATGATCATATTGGTTGAAATTATTTTTTATTATTTTTTCCTAACTTCAATGTTAGCTTTCTCCTAAAATCATGTCTTTTTTTCATGAAATCACTTTACAAGCCACATCAGCATATGAAATCACTTTACACTATTTTCACAACTACAAACAAACAATTGAAAGTGATGAAAGCTGACATTGGGACCCACTTTTTTACACTTTACATCCTTTTACATGGTAAAAACATACAACCAAACAGCCCCTTATATGCAATTTATCAAAATTTTAAATATAAAGACTGATGGATACAGACCTTTGCCTTATCAAGAGTGATATTCAACTTTCAGCTTAAAGCAATGCATTTAATAGCATTAATACTTCAACAACAATATTTTTAATAGATAGAAATAATGATCAGTGGAGAAACTTCTAAATACATTAGAGTGACTATAAAACGATGCATTTAATCCCTATCCAACTAATTCAAGCCAGCAGGTTTCCATGGTCTAGACAACCTCAACTGAACGCAAACTCTCCCGACCTAACAAAAAAACACTACCTGAATGCTCAATCAAATTAGAACACAACCGTGACACCTTCTGATCTTTAATACAAATCCCTTGCAACTTCAAGATTCATGATAAACTTTTGGACATTTAATATCATCAAGCCAACATTCTCCTTGCTCCCTTCAAGTCATATAAGTTGGATTCTAAGTAAAAGTAACTTTGACTGAAGTTACCAAAATTCTTAAGCTAGTTCACAATGAGGATTACTGACTTCGTTGATTTAGAGACAAAACAACTCATGTTTCCAATCAAATTAGGGATTGTCCAAGGAATAAAGAAAAAAGAACACAGTATGATTAATATTGTGATCACCATCCTTGAGTGCACTATCAACCCAGACACCCCTTAGGTAAATATTGCTACAAACCAACTTGGTTTTATCAAGCTAGCAAGTATTTTTCTCTTAAGTTCTTGTCCCTAAATATAATATGGCTAATTACGAATAGACCCCTGGTACTTTTAATTATGCGAATAGACCCACTGGATGAACTTTACTCTTAAAATTGTTTACAAAGTTTTGAGAAGATGAATTAAACCCCTATAGTTCAACTGGTGAGGATAGACCCCAATTACTAATTTTGACTTCTAAAAGAGTTGACAACGCAATGTATTCGCAGCTAGGCTGATACCAGAGGGGGTCTATACACAGTTAGGTGATACTACAAGGTGGTCTATTGACCGATATAATATGTATAGAGTTACTCTTCATCATACAATCCCAATTTATTCCCTTAAAAAATGACCAGACATCTCAAAGCGAATAAAATCGTTTAAGTGCACGGGTAACTAAGAGAACCAATGGAAAGCAAATGATCTCATTTTATCTAATAATGAGGTATATGCTAGAAAGGAGCAAACCTATTGCCCGAGACATTGCCAGGATCCCATTAACCCTAGCACCATTGAGATAAATCACTCGCCCACCTGCAGCTTCTATTCTTGCCAGCTCATCTGGGCGATCAGGCTGTCAAAAGAGTCAAATGATAGTATATCAAAACTACGCACTTAGATAACCATGAAAGCTAACTATAGATGCACTCCAATCACATAGACACTGCATAAAGTTTCTACAAATATGCGACACTTGGAACTGTAGATGTGTCTCTGTGGAGACATTTGATTTGATTTTCCAGGCAAAAATTTCAAGTCATAAAGCTGCAGCTGCAGAGTACTAGTGTCTAGTTCTCCAAGCATGATTTTAGCTCATTAACACGATACAATTTGCATGAACTGTCCTTCAAAAACTCCAAACAAACTGTGATACTTCTTGTGAATGAACCACAAGCATAGGACAATTAAGTGCCTCAAAGCTCAGTTTCAGACTTGCAGGAATCTTAAAATGATTTTGCAAGACGTTCAATAGTTCTTGGCTTGTCAAATATACCAATTTTTTAGAAATTTAGAAGCCAAGAGCTTCAATGAATTGGTTCAAAAGGTCATAAGAAATATAAAATTCACAAGCCAAATAAAACCACGTATAATTAAGTCACCTTTTAGCCTTTTTTTGGTCATGAAGGCCGATGATAGCTAATTAGCGTAACAGCTCCTCAATGTAGACATCTTACCAAAACTTTGAGTCACATATCTACAGTCTCTAAAGACTTAGTGTTCCGAACATGATTTAAAGCTTGTTCGCAATCAAACATATAATTTGCAGTGAGCAATATGTCAAAAGTACAAAACCATGCTATGTACATATCTTATAAAAAACCTCAAGCATAGGACAAGAAGTGCCTCAAAGTTCCATTCAGACTTCGGGAGCCTTAGAAAAAAGATTTCTGAAGAAATTAAACAGTTTCATAATTTGTTAGCTATATCAAGCTTAGAAACCTAGGGCCTGTTTAGCAAATGAATAAAATGGGTTTTGAGTGGAACAAATTTGGGCCAGGTATTTGGCCCGAGATTGGCAACCAAGAAACTTGGACTAAACCAATTCTCCTTTGGCCCATTTTTATCTCATAATTGGGCCAGAGTTAAATCAATACCCCTTGGTATGAAAAAGAACCTGATAACTCTGGCCCAAAAATCAAGGAAAAAAAGAAGGAAAATAAGTAAACTATCAAAGTTGCTACCTTACATATATTACGCGTTTACCAAAAAAGAAATGGTTCTAAACTAGTTTTCTTTAAAAGTTAGCCAAACTTGGTTCACCTCAATACTAGTGCACATAGATACTAGTGTAGCCAAATCAAGCCTATGTGACACCGGATCAAAACTCAACTTGGTTAGTTTGCAAGTTGCCTTCGGGTGTGTTTGACAATCACCCAAAAACTAGGTCAAGTTCAACCTTGGCCTAGTTCTACTCTAAACCAGTTTAGTGTTGGACCACCACTCCCGATCCAACACCACCCCCAATTCGATACTAAACTGGTTTTATGGCCTCTTTTTGGCCTACGAGAAATTGGGCCAGAACTGGCCTAGTTTCTGCCGATAAAAAACCAAACTCAAAACTGGACCAGGTGCTGTCAGTTTTAGGAGTTTTACAAACACAACCTTAGATTTCAATGTTCCTTGAATTCGTTCAAAATGAAACAACAAATATAAAAACAATACTAAATCAAAAACTATTCAGATAGTCTCCCATAACTCTCAAAATGTTATAAAACCCCCAGGCTTGGAGTTAATCAGAATACCCCCTGAAGTTTGAGATTTAATCAGAAAAAACCCCAAACAGTAACCGCAATTTTCCCTGGAAGAATGTCCCCTTCCCTTAAAATTGTTGTTTTCTAATATTTAGCCTGTTAAGGGTGTTAGGGTTTTTTTAAAAAGAAATCTTAAACCTTTTTTGGCAAAGAATGTTAGCTTTCATTAACCAAAATAGAAATGAAGTGCAAACTCTATGTATGTAGACTCACATGGTATCAAGAACAACTACCCACTACTATTGAAAGAAAAACTATACGAAAAACCTAGATCAATGACAGTATAACCTGTTACTCTTAAGTCAGGAATGTAGGATGAATCTTCATCTTCGCACACGAACCCCTATTTTACGGAGTACCTTTCAGTTTGTCAATTCTACTAAGCTGAATCTTCAAGAAGAAAATAATCTGATTGAGTATACTGGCACATAGTAGATACTTGCTCCAAGAGTCCCCCCAGCCCAAGGAACAATAGGGTGGCACTATGGGCACACCCCCAACCACAACCTCAACCCTTCTCTTATTGCTACAGTATATCATGCCCCCACATGAGATTTACAAACGAGAGAGGGGTATGATTAAGGTTATGGTGTGCCCGTATCATTTTCCGGAACAATATTAGCAAAAAGTCTATGCTGCGCTGAAAACAAGAGCACAGTCTTCCACTGTGAATATCATGTGTTTAAAGAGGCCAAATGCAAATACTCCAGATACCATCCCTAAACGCAACGTGGCGATCAGCCACAGAAACTAGTCAGTGGTCCCCCCCAATCTTTTCCCCATTCCAAACCATCACCTCCTACATCTCACCAAAATTACCAAACCTACCTCTACCAATCATTACGATTACCTTATCGTCATCGGAAACCGGCAGCGCTCTCCCCCGCCGGCTGAGCACGCCCTCGAGTCCCGCAGTTCGCCACACCACCCACTCGCTCCAACAACCGCCACCACAGCAGTGGACCCCACGATGCTCGGACTCGAAACCGGACTATCCACGTGCAAGGCTGCGCCCCGATCCCCGCACGCGCACGCCAGCGCCCGCAGTCATCCATGCGACCGTAGCACCGCCTCACCGCCGCCTTAACGCCTCCTCATCCATCTCCCCCTCGCTGCGGTCCTCGTCAACTCGTCCGCCATCAGCTCGTGCATCCGCTCTTTGCACAAGCTCTGACACCTGCCAGCTGGTAAAAGCATAATTAATTGTGTTTTTTTTAATTTAATAAGAATAGGAAAATGCTGTTAAGATATATATTATCTTATGAAAATTAAGATAATTACATGAGCGCCACCGTGGCCGTCGAAAACGCCGAAGAAATGAAACGGCGAGCCTCCAGCCGGTCTAAAGAAACACGGGACAACCGAGACGGCGTCCTCCATCTCTCTCGATCGGCCCGAAAGCGCAACGCGATCCGAATCTAGAACAGGATCCGAACCGTAGCGAGAGGAAGAACATGTGTTCCTCCTCCTCCTCCTCCTCTAATTGATGGCTGCGGCGACAGTGGATCGCGATTCGATCGTTCGCCTTCTTTTCTCAGCGCTCGCCAAATCCGACGCCTCCGCTTCTCCTTTCAAATCCGATCCGACGGAGATCGACGTCAACGTCGTGGATTCTCGGCGACGGTCGATAGCCGTCGCATTTCGATCCGACGGCGGCGAGACTCGCGGCATTTTGCCGAGGAATAGCCATCTTCGCTCATGTTGGCGAAAACAGCGGCCATCAACTGGAGAGAAATAATCGGGGGCTGTCGGCAACCATTCCACGCCGAGGATTTGGGAATCGGGAAAAGATCCAGTTTTTCCCTCCCCTCTTCTATTTTCTTTTTTTTTCGAGGGGAAGTGACAAACGTTTTTGTTATGTGATGATATTTTTGTTTCTCTCGTTGGAAGTAGCTCGGGCAGGTGTTGGGGCTGCCCGATCTGCCCGTTCAGGATAAGTGAACACGTGGAAAGTTGAGGAGAATCGCTCGGTCTAGAGGCACGTGGCAGATTTCTGCCATCGTGATTATTCATTTTATTTTATTACAGGTTCGTTACCCATAAATATTCTATAGTTTTATTTACTTTGCGAGCTTTGCTACAGGGACCCAAAATATTGGACCAATAAGAGGGACAAGTGAGGTGTCCCCATCCTATTGGATAATGAGTTGGTCATCATTAATGATGACCAACTCATTATCCAATGGAAGAGGGACACCTCACTTGTCCCCTCTATTGGTCCCATATTTTGGGTCCTTGAGGAATTTTTCTTACTTTGCAACTTATGTCCCCTCGCTTATTTTTTGCGACACTTGGATACTCTAAAATTTTTATAACTTATATTCATATATTCTTTTCTATTTTACATCACTTACACACACTAAAGTTTTTAAAGGTTGCACTTAAATATCATAATATTTTTTAAATTGTCACTTAAGTAGCCATAATTATGCAAAATTGATGGTATTTAAGTCCAAGTGTAAAAAACTTTAATGTACTTAAATGCTAGTTTTTAAAACTTTAAGGTGCTTGAGTGCAAGTTGTAAATACTCTAAGGTACATAAGCGATGCTAAAAATTAGGGTATGTGTTATGGTGTTTTTAGTCGTCAAAGTATGGTCCTATGCCAGGAACGGACATGTGTCCCCCTACATGTACCGCTCAAATCGAATTGACGGTCAAGACCACCAAGAACCCCGACTTAGCCGACTCGTCGAGTCGACATCTCCTTAGGTCGACTCGAAGAGCAGTACTTGTTGGTCCTTGACTCGAAGGGCGGTACTTGTCGGTCCTCTTGTCGAAAACGACTCACTACGAGCCCACTCGATCAGTTATTCGACACATCGCAGGGTCGACTTGAAAGGCGTTACTTCTCGACACCCCTCATTACAAGCCAAATGAAGAGTTCAACCTTAAACCTCCCCCGCTGACAGCGCGTCGGCGTCACATTAAATGCTTGACGATCATCATCATTTCCTCATTCCGTACACTATTTATGACACATCGGACCACGTCGGCTTTGTGCGCCGCCCATCACATCTCATTAATGGCGAAATGACAACGTCCATCACGTAGCTAATCCACAACTGACACCTGTAAAGTAGATGCTGACTCAGCCGCCAGCTCAGGCTCGGCCAAAATAACTAGACTACCCACCCCTCTTGCTTGGCTATTAAAAGGAAAACTATTCCAAATACAAGGGTAAGCAATCTCTCAGAATTCTTCTCCACTCCACTACACTTAAGAACTCGCACAGTTCATCACTTTTCCACTCAAGTCCATCACTGACTTGATCATCGGATGAACAATGAGAGAACTAGTCCTTGTCCTCTTACGAGTTGCTATTTGTGCAGGAAGAAGCTGCTCAACTCAAAACTAGATATTCGAAGATGTTAGCAGCTCCTAATCAACCCCACCCCTATTACATTATCTATGTGATTATTAACATCAACAGTTTGGCACCCACCATGGGGCTTTTTTTCTTTTTCGAGCAAGTATGTTTGGTTGTTAAGATAGGGATGATCAGTCTAACCCTAGAGGACCGCACCAGAGCTACGTTACTTTAGCTCAGCTTGAAGAAACATCTCAAAAGATCTATCAATCCCTCTAACATCAACTCGCTACCTTCACCAGCGAGCTCCTCAACCGATTCCCACAGCCGTAGCAAGCCACTTTCGCCGTCCATCCGCCTTCTGAAGACCAGCAATCGGGAACTCACCCCCTTCTGGAGCCCAGCGAATAGTTCCACCTCGGACTCCTCATGCTGATACCAAGCAGCAGAGAGATCGACTCACCTTGGGGAGCATCTTAAGAAATATTTTTAATAATCTTGTACAAAATTTTATTTGTTATGAAAGAAATCTTTTCGAATCTGACGTGTCGCACACTCGAAGTGCCCAATCTGTGTAGGAACTTTAAGCCCTTGGTGGCTTCTTAGGATAAACCCAAGGCAAGCCCACCTCGCGGCCAGCTCTCACACTCACGACGCCAACCGTCATAGCAGGCCGAAAGACCTAGATGTCCTCATTAAGACCTAGGCACCCAACTTTCAGGTTGTCACTTTGCTAAAAGACCTAGGTGTTCTCATTAAGACCTAGGCACCCAATCTTTAGGTTGTCACTTTGTCGAAAGACCTAGGCGTTCTCATTAAGACCTAGGCACCCAACCTTTTGATTGTCACTTTGTTGAAAGACCTAGGTGTCCTCATTAAGACATAGGCACCCAACCTTCGGGTTATCATTTTACTGAAAGACCTAAGAGATCTCATTAAGGCCTAGGCACCCAATCTTCGGGTTGTCACTTTGCCGAAAGACCCATGAATCCTAGGCATTCCAACCTGCCTGTCTTTCTTTATAAAAAGACCCTGATATCTCACCAACGAAAGACGTAAAATGAGCCAATCGTCCCGACCCCTCAACACTCGGGTCATCCAAACACGACCGACTCACGATAATCAGCACTTATTCTATCAGCTAGATTGGAATGGCCATCAACCAAAGCAAAAACGAGGAATAACTAAAGGCAAATTCCCGAATGAGAGCAAAAATCCAAATCTTTATTCCAAACTTCAAGCATACTTTATTACATTATCCATATCAATATTTACAAAAAAGAAAGAAACGATACAAGCCTTAAGGCTTCTCGGCTAGATCTGGCAGTAGGGCTTGGGAGGTCCTCTACGGAGGATGTAGGGGTGGGAGGGGCAGAAGAGAAAGCAGGAGGGACTTCTCTGAGGTTGTCCACTGACTCATCGCCATCGTCAACCAATGCCAGTTCCAGCCCCTCTACTCGCCTTGATCTCTTTCAGGAGGTAAAGGTAGTAAGAGACTTGGGGAGGGTAAAGGCAGTCAGGCGCGAGGCGAGAGGCAGGAGGGAGCAGTGAAGATAGGTAGTAGACCAGCCTTGCAATCCAAGTCCACCTCGGTTTTTCCTAAGGGGCCCAGGCGCCAGTTATCGACCATTTTCACCTTATACTGCTTTGAGTCCAAGCGAGAGAGCCGATCTTCCAGGTCCTTGACGATTGCAGTAGACGTCTGGTAAGCCGACCACTCCTCCTCAAGGTCTCGCTTTAGATGCTCGACCGAGAGACGACTCGATCGAGCATCCTCCTGAGCCGTCACCTTGATATGCCTCTCGGACTCAACCTCCCCCTCCAGAGAAGATAGGCGGCCGTCCCGCTTGGAAATTCCTTACTGGAGGCAGCCAACCTCTCCCTCAGCTGGACCACCTCACCTTGGAGATTCTCAATAGAGGTCGTTTGCTTGGCACCATGAGATCTATACCCTTTGATGAGTTTATCCCTCGTGTCCAGCTCCCGACGCTAGCTGGCTTCGTTGTTGTTAAGTTCAGCCTCCAAGGCGGTGACCCTCTTCTCCACTTCCTCCCTAGCCGACTTCTCCTTAACTAAGTCCGCCTCTACTAACACCCCTCGAACCAAGTAGCCCTTGAGGGCCAGGTGCAAGCCGACGCTTGGCATCTCCCGCAAGAACCCTTCGTCCTTCGAGAGGACGAACTGTTGAACAACTCAGACTTTGGCAGCCGTTGACCCTAAGAACAATCTCTCTCTGTCACGAGGCACCTCCGCGATGAACCTGTCGCCCTCTGGGAATTCTCTCCTAGGTGAACAGGGGCACAACGATACTCCAATTAGCATGTCCTTGGACTTCTCCTAGAATTGGAGGTCAAGCTCCGAAACCTAATGGCAGAAAGGCTAGTAAAAGCTGTCCTCTTTTTCCTCGCCGACCTTGCCCGCCAAAGATTCTGGAGGGGCGCTGCTTGGTCTTCAACACCTCCCGAAGTCTTGGAAGGCTCCTTACTTGGCCTACGGGATGGTTCAGGCCTAGGGCTTGGCCTGATTGCCTCCTCAACAGGAGCCCCAACTTCGGCAACCACGTCTTCTTAGGCCGCCCCCGTTGGCCTAGGAGGGAAAGCATCGTTGATGAAAATGATCTCAGCCTGTCGGCAAGTTAGGACGGTTAGCTGCTGCTCTTTGGCCGAGTCGACCAGGACTTGCTCAGTCGACCCGCTAGGCCCTTGGTCTGTATCCAGCCTCCTTTTCTTTATGAGCGGCTTCTCCTTCTTAGCCTTCACCTTTTGCCCCACTAGCTGGGCAGCGATCTTGGCTACTCGTGACCTCAAGTCGCACACTGTTCGCGGGGAAAATTGTGTCTTTCTTCATTAATGATTTAATTGTACACTCTTGTAATAGTTTATCGATTACAAAGATCCGGTCTTTTTATAAGATCCGGTTACAACGAAAATCAAATTGAAAAGAAATGAAAATTACAACTTTGTTTCCTTGTTTGTCGAACGAATCACGAGCTCCTGTTTTGCGGTCGCTCGCTTTGTGGGTTCTTTGCCTGCGCCGGGGTTGTTTGCCGTGGACCACCGCGCGATCTAGATCCGATCGGATCTACGCAGTACAACAGGTATTATAAAAATCAAAGAAAACAAAGTAAAGATTACAATTTTCCTTATTTGTCGAACTAATCGCGAGCTCCTGTTTTGCGGTCGCTCGCTTTGGTGGGTTCTTTGCCTGCGCCGGGGTTATTTGCCGTGGACCACCGCGTGATCTCGATCCGGTCGGATCTACACGATATGACGGGTAATATTCCACCAAGGGAATAATAGCCGGGAGGGATTGTTTCACCAAGGAAACAACCGCTCGAATCTCGGGATCTAAGAACCAAGCTTAGATCCGGAGTGTGATCGTGTAGATCTCAAATCCAATCCTCTCGAACTCCTGCCTTATTTGGCGTTGGTGAT